ACAGTGACCATGTGGGAAGGTCTGGGTGTTGTTCCACATTTATACTCTCAGCCCTAAGCGTGTTCGGATTTCTTGTAAAAGTTACATAAGAATGCTTGACTTGCCAGTGGGGTTGTTTGTGGCCGGTTCATACGCAATCCTGTTAGTGTTCAGGTTGGCACAGATCTTTTACATGGGTAGTATTCTCTGATGTCCTTAAATGTCTTAATTTACCTTCAGAACTTGAACTTATTGAAGTCATTTCTGAACATGTGTGTATTTCCTACTATTTTCCATGCTAATAACTTCTATAAGGAAAATTGTATCACTTAGTTGTCTGAAACTTGCCTCCCTACCTTGTTAAAATATACTGATCTGAAAATACTTTCTGTGGGGAAAATTGGCTCCTCTTCTTGGGAACAAGAAATTGACCTCTTTTTATTAAGAGTAGAACCCCATGTATGAAAGATTTTGTTCAAAGTTATCAAAGAAGCAGGAACAAATTTGCTTGGTTATGCTGATTAGCCTTTCTCCCAAGGCTACCAAGTAAGACATGAGTTTACAATGAGAACTACTCCTAAATCTAGAGAGAGCTGGAAGCTAGCAAAAATCCACCCACAATGAATTAGCTCCAACCTATCCTGGTTTTAAATTAAAAGATGTTTTGGAAGATGTTTTCAAGTGTAAACAACTAATGGGTTTCTCAGTGAGTCTCAGAAGACTTTCTAAACTATAATTGATAAAAGATAAGATATAATATGGAAAATTTTATCAAAGTTAATAAAAACTGCACAAATATATTTAAATGGACTTATGTAAACAGGAGTCCAAGGGTAGCCAGTGTGTCTCTACTCCTGCCCAAGGGAAAAGACTTATGATTCTAGCAAAGTTAAGAAAAAGGCCAGTTACAAAACCAGTTTATTTGATCAGATCCTCAAAGAACTCACTGCTTTATTCTAATTCTAATGTGTAATTTGGTCTGCAGAGTATATCAAACTACTGAGGAGAAAAGTATAGCCTGAATTATACTACTCATTGTAAAATCACACACTGCCAGTTCTTTTTCAAATATGACTTTTCTGGTTTGTTTGCAAGTCAGTTCCCCCCAAAATCATCACATCTCAATGAATTGGCAAACTGAATTTTGGAGTCTGTAAAACTGAGACCCAGTCCTTGGACTCTCGTGACTCTAGCTAGTACTGTCAGCTCAGCGTGACAAAGCCAGATGGCTTCATGGATCTTTACTCCAGAAAAAAAATGCCAGACATTTTCAGTAGCCATGTATTCAGGAGTGAACTTCACCCTGCCTCTCATCCAGTCACACTTCATTCAGGGTTTATTTTTTTATTTTTTAAAACATTTATTTATTTATTTATTTATTTATTTATTTATTTATTTATACAAGAACTGTGGTAGAGGCAAGAGTTGGGGGGATTGGTGAGAGGATACACCAGAGACAGAATGGGGAGCAGAATGAGCAAATCTACTAAAAGACACTGCTAAGGGGAGCAGTGGGCCAGATAGGAGAGGTCTGTTGCACAGTATGTGGGTTAACTCCGTGGCTGGGGACTGAACTCAGGCTGCAGTGGTGATAGTGCTGAGACTTAACCCCTATGCCACAAGGGAGGCCCTGTGTTCAGGGTTTAAATAGAGGAAAGCAGGTATGAGTTTCGTTTGAGAGCTTTTTTTAAGGGCAAATACTGTTGAGCAGTTCTCAACAATGACAGAATTTCCATCTTCCCTAGAAACCCCCTGTGTAATGAAATGATTGCAGTGAAGCAGTTGAGCCCTGAGGCAATCTGCTTGTGACTTGAGTCATGGCCTCTGAGAGGCTATGGGAGCCCTAGAAATACACACGCATACACATACACGTATACTACCTCCTTTTCAGTACCCTCTGATGCCAGATTCATAGCTTTTACTACTTAGCATGTGATTCCTAATGAAGGTGAGTACAGTGTCACTTTTAAAAGATTTTTCTACAGACTCAAAATACTATTTTATTTATATATTAAATGAATAATTTAAAATATTTTTGAAGTGAATAAAAAGTTTTAAAGTTTCAAAGTGAATAATAATTCCTTAATATCATCTAATGCCAATCTGTAGTCAAAATTTCCCAACTGTCCTGAGGATGTCTTTTTCATTGGTTTGCCCAAACAGGACCCAAATTAGGACATTACATACATCAGGCTGTTATGCCCTTAAATCCCCTGTAATGTACAGTAGTCCCTTTTTTTTTTTTTTTTACAACACTGACTTTTTAAGAAATTGAATCAATTATCCCATAAAATAACTCACCTTCTATATTTGTTTATTTAGTTTCTTGTAGTCTTAGTTTATCCTCATACCCTATATTTTGAGTGAACTGTAATTTAGATCTAAACTTTATTATATACAAGTTAAATATTTTTGACCAAAAGAAAAAATACTTCATACTGTCTCCCATCACAAGACAATTTTGTCTGGACATTAGAGGCACCAAGTTTGGCACTAATTTAAGAGGGAGACCTGATTTCTCCAGTGTACCTGTTCCCCCTGTGACTTGAAAGAATGATGCTTTGTGGTGGTACATTGGCCCCACATAAGTCCCCTGTTCCCTATCAACCATTTATCTAAAGCAGTTGGTAATCCTTGCATGAATCAATAATTTCCCTTTGGAGTCTCCGTTTCTAAGTCAGCAAGTCCTTATACTGCACTGTTTACTGGTCATGTCATGAAGCGTGTTATTAGTTTCCTGATCTTAATTCCCTCACCTATAAAATGGGTATAAAAATAAAACCAATCCACATGATTGTTGGAAATATTACTTGAGATAAGCATGTACCCATGCCTGGTGGCATCTATGCATGCAGTATGTGTGGGTTATTTGATATGATTGTGCTGCTCCTTATTTTGGTAGTGACAGCTTGCAAAACAGTATCCGCTCACTGCCAGTCTCAGGTCACTGAGGCAACTGACGATAACTGATGAAATTGCTACAAAGGAATTGAGGCTGTTAGATTTTTGAAGAAAATTGACTTACTCTATTTTTTAAAATCAAATTGGAATTGTTTCAACTAACGCTGCTCTGATCAGTGTTTCCTAAGAACCAAAAGGCCTCTGACATGCTCCAAGGGAGAAGGGTTTCCACTGCAAAAATACCTGGAAATGCTGCCCATTCTTCTCCTCTTTTGGGGTTTCATTGTGTATATTATTAACTTAAAGGCCCTGGGAAGCCTTTTAGGTAAGAAACCCGGTTAACTTTGTTGAATCACATACTCTCTAATCTGTGAACACTCTCCACTCCACCTCTACTGACTTAAAAATGTAGCACATAGAAACATTAGATGGGAGGAGGGAGTCATACTGATAAGTCAACCCCTAGAAGCTGGAAACTCTGTCATTGGCCTTTGATTCCTCAAAAATTATGCAAACTTGAAAAGTTCTTAGGAGGTTCATTTCCTTCTTGAGGAAGAAAAGACATTAGTTGGAGGTCCCAACATAACAGAGTATAAAATAAAGCAGATCCACAACTATTTTTATGGAACTTGATGCCACAGTGGGTGCTTGCAGGGGGCGCTTCCCTAGGTGCTGATGTGGTAATTTTAAATCATTATCTTATAATCTACTGTAAATAGATCATTTTTAAGAAAACATCCATGAACTATTCATGAAAGCTTCAGAAAATGAATTTGTCATTTTAAATAAAGAATAAGATTAATATAGAACTAAAAAGACTTCAAGAGAATTTCAATTCCCTCATTTTATAGATGAGGGAAATGGAATACAGACTATTGCAAAAGCGTGCAAGTGTGCCCATACATGCACACATAAGTGCTCGTGTGTGTGAGAAAGGAAGCAGAGAGAGAGAGAGAGCAGGCATCTTGCAGCAGTGAGGGAAGAGGTTAGGACATAGATTTCCCCTCCACAAGTCAGTGCTTTCTGCTCTGTTGGTTATTCCTTCTGAAAGATAATGTAAGATGTGTCTCCTACTTTAACTGTATCTTATAATTATCACACTTCATACAGTGTGTTCCAATTAGTAGACATTAGGAACAGGGCACAATTGATACTTCCAAATTTTGCTCCTTGAAACATTAATATCTTAATAGATGTTAGTAGGTTATCACTTTTTAAGTTTCTCAGTTAAATGAGTTTAGAAAACCCTACATCGTTCCCTCCCATATTTTAAAAACTTGTAATTGCATATTGTAATTATGAACAGTCATTCCTGCAGTGAGGAAACCTCTTAAACTATGTACAGCTCAGCATTTCCCAAGCTTATTTGACTACGGAATCTGTGAGTTTTCAACCAATGTGATTAATAGGGTAGAAAGTGTAGCTTTAGCATCAACTTCGTTGGTAAAGTTTGTGACAGCTCAATAATAAACCAGGTTGCATCACACAACATTAAAAAGGTATCTGTAGGGTAAAGTAAAAAAAAGTATCAGGCTTTTCTGCCCTCCTGCCATTAGGATCGATAATGGATCCTTGTGGTCCTGAATGCATGCCTGATGGCTGGCACCTGGAGTAGGGCTAAGTAGATGGGATTCACCTGGCTGAGACTGGGCTTATAAAGTCGGCATCACAGAGACGCCAGCAGAAGCAGAGAGCAGAACCACAAGAGCAGAAGAGAAGCCGAGATCACCAGAGAAGGCTAAAGAGCCCAGAAAGAATGAAGATGGGCTGAGGGCCTGCCAGCCTCCCAGCCCCCCAGCACCCCTGCAAAAGCCACTGAGGGCTCCGGGACGCTCTCCTTCACCCATCTGCTTAGATCATAAAGATCCTGCTTCGTCCATTCCTGCCCCTACAGTATCTTATGTCTTAGGGTCTCAGGATGACCATGGATGTAGGAGCAACACCTAGTAGGATGCATTAAGTTGACCATGGTCTTTTAACAATGGACTGGAAAGGGAAACAGTGGAAGCTTAATTAAAGAGTATGTTCTGGTACATTTTGGAGGATAACTTCTTTAAGTTTTCTTTAATTGTCCTTTTCAAATCTTTTCAAAATTTTTACTATTATTTTTATTTTTTTAGGCATTCACAAGCCCAGAGTGCGCCAAAAGGGTGTGATATCATCGCAGGACATCCAAATAAGGTAGCTGGGCATCTGATTCCTAGGTGATAGTGTATCCTTATTTCATACTTACTCAAGTCCATGGTCATGAAGCCTGTCTGTGGCTGCTTGGTCAGCACATCCAAACATGAAACTGTTAGTGATATTTTGAAGTCTTTGAGACAAAAGCCTAGCTTGCTAAAGAACTGTGGTTCAGCAGAGAGACAGGGTGGTACAGCGAAGAGAGAATCAAAAGCCTGGAAATTTGCTGCTGAGAATAAATGCTAGCTGCTCCCCGAGGTGATTTGTCTGTGCACTCCACTCTCTACAGATGTTAGAGCCTCTTTCTGAGTAAGGACCCGAGGTTCTTTGGTAGCACTTTGATATCCTGCTCGAATTCAATATGTGAAATGGAGGCGTCTCTCTGTGACTTGGAGCCCACAGCAGGCTTTGAAGTCTGATCCAATTTTTGCTGCCTACTATTTGATGTTGAAAGGATGAAATGAAGGAAATGTACAGTTTTTGCCAGTAACTCTGCTGAGCATATGTAAGATTAAAAAAACAAAATCCTTTGGATGATGTACTTAGAAATGTTAAATAGATTAATACCTTCCTATATGTTTTTTTTCTTTCTTAGGGATAAAAATTAAGTGTAGGAGAAAATCAGCACATAGAAGTTTTAATATTCTGCACTAGAATTAATTGAAGAGGGGCCTAGTTTGATTTGTTCAGAGGAGAAAATAAATGAAGGAAAAGGCATTGAGACTTTGTTACTAATTGCCCTAAGAGAGAATTTCCATTCAAGTCTAATGAGGACAGGTGCAATTCATAACATGACCCCAATATATTTAACATATGGTTAAGGTTAAAGGTCCCTAAGTTAAATGGAAGCCATGTCCTTAAAGCTGCTTCATCAGAGGATAAAAATAATCTTTCTCCTACTCGGTCTTTCTGAAGCACTCGGTTTCTGGGATTGATTCGCTGTCTTCTTCGACATACCATGCTGCACCAGATTACCAAGGACTAAGTCCCTCGAGGGGAGCCCCTGCAAAACCTGGTAAGAAGAAATTCTGAATGGCCTGCTGCTCCTACCATTCTCATGTGCATGTACTTTTTAATAGCTTGGGCAAGACAGTTCACAAGGGCTCAGAAAGTAATGTGACCTAATGTTTGCAAAAAACTTAGGTTTTGGAAATCATAAAGGCTGGAAGCAAAAATTGTATTAAAGGTAGCAGTGGACTGCCTCGCCATGCCAGCTTCATTTACTTTTTTGGAGGAAGAAAATGAATACCAAAGGCCATAATTTTCCCTTTACCTCAAACTAGGGAACTGCTTCAAAACTTTATTTTGTTAAAGGAAAGATAAACAGTTGACCAATTTTTAGTGGAGTAAGTCATTCAGTATCAAAATCTAAGGCTTGGTAAAGAATAGGGATTTAGAAAATAGTTCTGACCTTTTGGCAATACGGCTGTTCTTTCAGCAAGAATACAAACATTTTGGCACACTTCTTTGGAAAATAGCTATTTCTGACCCCTTTTCTAAAATGTTTGCTACATTGTGTGGTAAAAGTCTGTTTGGGATCCTATGTGTAGTCATAATAATTACTTCTGGAAAATACAAGTGTGGTCATAAAAAAAGTTTATAAACTAGAAGATACTAAGGATAATGTGGACCATCCAAAGAAAGAAATCTTTTCGATTTCAAATACTATATTAGAGTTACTCATCTATTTTTCTGAAATATGTAGTAATTTCTCAGCCTCTCCAAGTTTCTTCTTAGCCTGTTTTTCTGTGACAAAATATGAAGTTGGAAAATGCATAATAAATATGTTAGGATTTTCAGTTCCTATGGAACTTCAACTCTTGGAAGACACAAGAGAAGATAAGTGTATTATACCAGAACCTTTCAAATGAATATGTAGAAAACAATAGACCTGTCAAAGGGAATATTTTCCCCACAGCCATATGGTATTCAGGAATAAGGTCATGATGGGAGAGGGCTAAGAGTAGTGCAAAGAGAAGAATTTAGGGTGATGTGGTAGAACAGAAGGATCAATTTGCAGGAAATTTGTTGACATTTTTTTCCATCCAAACTGATAATCTTTTCCTTTTAATTAGAATGTTTTGACCAGCTACATTTAATGTGATTATTGATATGTTTTAGTTTATCAATTTGCTATTTGTTTTATATTCATGCCATCTAGTCCTTGTTCTCTTTTGGCATTGTATTGCATATATATTTTTCTAAAAAGGAAAATTTGAAGTGTGGTTGAATAGCTAAAAGCTTGGGTTTTGGAAATAACCTGTTCTCCTGTGTAGGGTAATCAAGTTATATAACAGTTCCTTACCCTAATATCGACACATACAAAATGAAGGAAATGGTAATTCATACCTGAAGGGTTATACTGAAAAAAAACATCATGTTAAATACAATTCCCCTTGGCCTTAGAAAGTCATAAATATTGATCAAAGGTTATCAGCTGCAGAAACAATAGTATATTTCATAAGAAACATTTTAGCAAGTTATCATTCTTTGCCTTAAGTGGCCCATTATTTCAACCCATGTTTCTGTGGAAAGCCAAATGAGAATATTGTGACCTTTCCAGTTAAAAAACAAACAAAAAACACTAAGAGCCAACAAGTTTGCCTTCTAACTTGCAGTGAGTGCTAACTTTTCTGTACTACAAAAGGGTCTGGTGAAAAGGGATCATAGGGACCTGGGGGTGTGGTGTTAGCAAATACAGGTTTCCCCCACTATCTAAAAATAGTGTTTTTGGATAAGATTTAGTAGGTTATTTTGAGGGTCTTGGAATGCTATTACCATTAATTTATATGGAAATGTTTGTGCTGCCCCCACCCAAAAAAAAAAAACTACCAAATCACACCAAATAGGAATGTTCTACTTTCAGATCATGGGGGAAACCCGTATATCTGAAGTTGTTCAGCCAGCTCTACTGAGAGCAGGCATGCAAAGTGTACAAATGTGGAGCTTGGAAAAACTGTTCTCAGCTCTTTCATCGGAGTATCTTTAATTGTTTTATTTGATCCTGATTTCTCACATAAGAGAGGAAAGCACAATAAGCCCAGGAATGTATAGTATGACTCAATTTGCCACTAATCCGGATGGTTAGATTACTTAATTAGACTTATTTTCTAAGAGTAACTTTAACTACATCACATCTTAAAAATGGAGCATGGTAAATTTGTAAGGGGCTGAGGAGCAAGTGGTATTGTATCAGTCTCCCAAGGGGGCTTACCTTTGGCAGTGTGTGGTGCTGGGAGGTAGTGCCCCCTGAGAATATCTGTTAACTACTTTCAGATCTTTAACGGCCTGTGCATACCACTACTGCTGAGCAAATTACAGTTGCTTCTTTCATCTAGTTGCTTCCCTAATGCCATCTACTTCATTATTTTCCTTTGCCGTGTTGCTCTTTCCTAAAATTTGCTGATCTTGGCAGCAGTTCAGTTATCAGAAAACAGGCTTGGACTGTGTTTTATCTTTGGAACTTTTAGTTCTTTGAGTCTCCAAAAATCTTAGGTTCCCCATGCCAGAAAGTTTTTCCCCCAAGATGCAGGATTTTCAGTGCCAACACCAGAATAGTTGCAGGCAACCTGGGATAAATCGGTCACCCTATTGTAATACTGAAAGCTGGACTTGATTTGGGTGAAAAAAATTTTTTTAATTGGATGTCTATATTAGACAAGACTAAGAAAGAAACCGTAAGCCTTCAATCCATGCTACAGAATCACCTCACACTGGCCACCTGGGTTTGGAAGGGGTTGCAAGCAGCTTGCCAAACAGCAATCACTGTGATCATAAAGGGCTCAGATGTCACCCATTTGACAGGGAGAGCGTGTTCCTACAACAGAGTCTCAAAGGCAACATAATCCCTGTCTCATTCCTGCAACTCATTAAAGCACAGTTACAAAGTTGGATATTTTTTGGACATTACTTCTGCTTAGGTTGTTACTACAAACATATCTGAAGAAAGTTCAGCGGGAACTATTTCCGGTGCTTTCCTGAGTGCATTAGGTCAGGATACACTTTTTGCTGATGCCAAGTTAGGTTCTGGCATTGACCCAGGACATCAGGAGTGCAGCTGCCAAACAATGCAAGGCAGAGGTATATGAGTCAAGTTAGGGTGCTTAGCTTCCAGAATTGGATGTTTATGGCATAGCTATAAAACTTGCAGAAAGGAATTTTATTTTTAAATTCTTTCCTTACATGATATATTTGAAACAGCACATACCTTCTAGACCTTCTACCCCGTTATCCTTGACTGCTGGTTTGTTTTCATTTTAAGAGTCTTTTCAACTTTAAAATTAAACAAACAGTTGTTTATTGGTAGGAATGGAGTATATTTTCTTCTGTCTATTTTTGTTTTTCAAGATTGGGATAAAAAATTTTCTTAATATGCTTATCTTTAATAGTTTGGAGTTTTCAAATAAATCGAACAAAAAGTACAGATATCCTATATAAGTCCTTACCTTTCTCCCTTCCCCCAGTTTCCCTGTTATTAACATCTTATATTAGTGTGACTCTTTTTTATAATTAATAACTCAATACTGATATATTTTTAATAACTAAAGTTCATGATTCACATTAGGGTATATTCTTTCTGTTGTTCAACTATTCAACGACATGCACCCACTACTGCAGTGTCATACAGACTAGTGTTTCGTGTCTAAAAATCCTCTATTGTGTCATTGACTCATCCCTGCTTCCCTTGAGCTCCTGGCTACCATGCATTTTTTTTAACTGTCTTCATAGTTTTGCCTTTTACACAGTGTGATATAGTTGAAATCACACAGTATATAGCGTTTTCAGATTGGCTTCTTAAATGCAATAGGCATTTCAATTTCCTCCATGCCTGTGCATGGCTTGATAGTTCTTTTTTTTTTTTTACTGCTGAAAATATTCCATTGTCTGGGGATACCAGTTTATTTATCCATTTAACTACTGAAGGGTATCTTGGTTGCTTCCAGGTTCTGGCAATTATGAATAAAGCTGCCTTAAACATTCACATGCAGAAAAAAAAAACATTCACATGCAGGTTTTTGCATAGGCATATGTTTTCAAGTACTTAAGTATATATTAAAGAAGAAGATTGCTAGATTATAGGCTATGAGTATGGTTAGCTTTTTAGGAAACTGCCAAACTGTCTTTCAAAGTGGCTGTTCCTTTTTACATTCCCCAGTAATGAATGAGAATTCCTGTTTCTCCATATCCTCACCAGCATTTGGTGTTGTCAGTGTTTTGGATTTTTGCCATTTAATGGGTCTATAGTGGTATCTTGTTTTAATTTGCATTTTCTGATGACATATGTAGAGGATTTTTTTCATATGCTTATTTACCACATGTATATCTTCTTGGGTGATGTGTCCATTCAGATCTTTTGACCACTTTTGAATTGTGTTGTTTTGGGGATTTAAGAGTTCCATGTCTATTGGGGATTTAAGAGTTCCACGTCTATTTGGGATATCAGACCTTTGTCAGATATGGTTTTGTAAATATTTCTCCCAGTCTGTGGCTTCTCTTTTTATTTTCTTAACACTGTCTTTTGTAGAGAGTAATGAAATACTTATGTGTGTATAACAACATATATCTATGTATGTATAACAACACATATGCACATATATAGACTTTTATAAATTTAATGAGAAAGAAAAATGTTTTTATATAAACCTAACTCCAATATTTTTCTAGCATCCACTCCCTATCTAAGAAAGTAAGAATATGGGGAGAAAAGGGGGAGAGGGGGTCCAGTGGACTATGGTGGAGAATTATGGGTGCTGTGGCAGGTGTGGTGTGGCTGCATACATTGAAGAGGTGTGAGTCTATGTCCTTTAAGTGTCTTATAAACCACTATTGACTCAATAAAAATATTTCAATTAAAAAAATTAAGAGTAGCCTGTAATGAACAAGGTAATTGATTTCTCAATAGTTGCACACATGAGAACTGTGACATGAGTGTGTCCCTTAAATTAAATGTAATCAGTTTTCAATGCTATAGGGAGGCAATAATATATATGTAGTCTAAAATGAAATGAAGAAAAAATTTCTGGTTATGTGAC